ATATATATATATATATATATATATATCAGGGTTTCCGTTAGCCGGTAATTACCGGTTTTTAGCTGGTAAAATGTATTAAAAACCTGCCGGTCAAAATGTCTGGTAATAATTAGGGATGCTCCGATAGATCGGCCACCGGTCATTATCGGCCGATATTCACTGTTAATAGTTTGATCGGTGCTCTCTATAAAGGCCGATCAGGAGAGCTGGATCTGATCGATATGGACATAAACGCGAGTGAAGTATAACCAGACGCGAGAGAGAGATCAGATCAGCTGCTGAGTCTCACAGAGACACGCAGCTCTGCATAATCACCTGAAGCCCCGCCCACTGTTTAGCGAGCTGCATGAGAAACTGACGGGCTGTCAGGAGAGAGAGGGAGGGAGAGAGAGAGGAAAAGAGAGGATCCGTTTCTCCCGTGTGATTATTCAAAGTTAATGTAAACTTTTGAATAATGTACTTTGCTACATAACTCTTATTATTATTATTGAAATATGACCGGTAAGTTTCAAATGTATCCGGTAAAATAAATTCTGCCCGGACATTTGACCGGCGAGAAAAAATCCTAGCGGAAACCCTTCTTCCTCATGTGTGATTCAATGTCCCTTCAGACAGAGCAGCCATGCATAAATCAGACCCAGCTGAGGATGATTAAACTGTGTAGGGGGAGGAGGAGATCTTATTGAAAGGAGCCTACAAAACAGTGGTGGCTGCCAGCTGTGTGGCTATGCAGGTACATCGACAGGAATATTGATCAGCGTTTTATTTCCCAACTATATCGCACACACATCCACTGCATCAGCATACAGGCAGACAAAAGGCCGAATAAATGAAAACAACAGCATGTGCGAAAGCATTAATCAAACCGTCTGTTAACAGCTTATGTGCAAACAGGCCGGGCTGGTTTTTAACCACACAAATTACGCATGGACACCTAGATGTTTGGTCACGTGACACGATGATTAGGGCCACCATGGCATCTTCATGAAAGAGAAATAAACAAGGCAGCCCTGACCTGACGATGGGTCCGAGCTGCAGGATGTGCAGTAGCAGCACGAGCGGTCTGTCCCGGCCCAGGTCCCGGTGGATGAAGGTGAGGGTTAGCTGCACGAGCACGGACGGCACGAGCGTGAAGAGGAGCGTGAGCCCCTGCCAGATCTGGTCCCCGGCGGAGCGGTACGTGGAGCTGAGGTACAGCGCTGCCGTGGTCTCAGCTGTGAACAGTGACACCGACACAAAGATGGAGCTGGGGAGGCGCATCCTCACTCACTCCGCCATCTGGGGGACGCGGCTTGGCTCGGGGTCCGCGCGGCCATACCGGGCTCCCTGCCGGGCGGTCAGTGGATCTCCGGCCGGAGGTGTTGATCCAGTCAGGCTCCCGCCGCTGAACTGCAGAGTTGAGGAATGCAGGATGTTTTCACACGCAGCTGTTGTCCCGCAGAGAGTCTGCAGGGGGCGCCCGTAAGTAAGAAGAGACGCCCTGCAGACAGTATGTGTTTACTGTGCCTCAGACACTCGATCGTTGTTTTTTACTCATCAGACAATATTTATTTTTACGGTTACAGAGACCCTATTTCCAATATTTGCATTGTGTTTTACTTGCTATACTTGGTTACTTCACTAATGGTGTGTTCAGGAGCATCGAAAAGCTGTATCTTATCAGTCAGACTGTGTTTTAAAACGTGTTCCTTCATATTCTGCATTTTCTCAATTTATTAAAATATAATGGTGCAATATGATATTGTTAAATAATGGTTATGTCATTCTTGTTCTATATGTAAAATGTTTCAATGAAGGACACTTTTCTCCTTTAATTGTAAAGCTCTTAGACTTAGACCAATGAATTCAGATTTTTAGATTATATTTTTGTTCCTTCTTTCCCCCAAATAACATGTTCCCAAATATTGCTAAAACTGGGAAACCCGTTCCATAAACTTGCTCAAAATAACTTAATAAGTTGTTCCAGTAACAGATATATTTGCGAAGGTGTTGACAAGCTGCTGAATTAATTATATTAAAAATCACCTGTGAAAAATCAATAAAAAAAGTCCTACATAAGAAATATTACACGGTACTCTAGTATCTATTCACATAAACCACACAACTAAAATACACAAAAGTAATCCTCACACCAATGTATTGGTTTACTCTTGTAAAAGGTTTAACTTGTAGCAACACATTAGCTACAGACAGCTAGAGTATTTGCTAGCTTAATTAGCAGTTAATCTACAGTAGAAAACGTTTGGTTAATTGGGTGCAATCCTGTTGGGTTAACTCATTACAAGAACAAATGTTTTTCCAAGAAATCAAAACTTTTCCTTTTTCTCTCAGATTTCAGCTCAGCGTCTTGACCAGCAGATGCCGACAGAAGCCTGCAGTCTTCTGTCGGACTGCAGGCTTCTGTCCATGGTGCTGAAAGAAACGTATTTAGTAAACAAATGCAATCAATTGATTTAATCTAAATGGGAGTTTTTTTAAATGTAGCCCAATTACTTAATAGCATTTCAGGGCTCATTTGCGGTATAGTTTACAGTGTTTCCATTTTCTGCTACTTATCTGCTTCTGTACGTTTAGAAAATACGTCATCTTAACCCACTATATGTATCTGACAGATGTAGTTACTTTGCATATTAAGATGATACATTAACATTTGAATATTTTTCAAAATACAACACATGAAATTGGACAATCTACTAATGTCATAAATGATAATACGTCAAACTCCAGGGACGAGTACGAGTCCTTTTACTTTGATACTTTAAGTTCATTTCTTTATTATTTGTACTTGTTGTAACCTGTAACCATGCACTGTGCCAGATGTTTTTCTATGTTGGCAAGAATAACCTATATTCCAGCCTCTTCGCAGATTTGAAGTTTTACCAACCAAAACACACAATAATTTCCTAGTGTAAAACATGATTCATTGCTGTTTTTTTAACCCCAAGCACATGAAATATACAGATGTATGTGTTGTATGTTTTCCTTACTCAGGTCACACTGTGGGTCAATTCCAAAATGTAATTATCTTAGTCAAGGTAGTGTGAAAGAGGTTTAGAATCACCTTTTAACTTGAAATGAGATTTATTTTCCCCAATCACAAAGACATAATGCAGATGGAAATACGATGAATGCCAGTGCAGATGTCAGCTTTAGACTATAACTAATTGAATTTCTGACCATTTAAAAGGGAAATGAATGCAAATTGAACAAAGACTTTTCTATGGGTTTATTTTGAAATGGAAAAACATGAAGTCTGAGGATAATGGAAAGAGAGAGAGAGATGTTGAGGAGGTCGCTTCAACATCAAGGGAGAACAGAAGTGGTTGCAGTTGCGCTCAGAGCTCTGAAAAAAGTAGTTAGTTCAACGTCATCTATCCACATAACACTTGAAATAGCAGACAGTAGAATAAGTATCAGCTTCTAGATTCTGTTCCTGTTTGTGAGTTCAGAAAAAAAAGCATGGTTCTAGCCCAAGCAGCCATTTTACTTTGATGAATGTTTTTCGGTCACATCATACGCATTTTGGGTGGAAATACTTTTGAGAATCACCAACTCTTCAGCCATTTTGTTCATATTTGGCTACAGAAGAGTATGGCAAATTAAAATGATTTAAGTCATGCTGAGAGATGCATATTTTCATCTCTGTTATCTCCTGCTTTGATACAGGAAACTTAATTTGCATTTATATGAGGAAATGATTTTGAGCCCAATTGGCACAAACTGATGCACAAGCAAATAAAGTCTGCAGTGTGTATCAGGGACCTTCAACAATGTGTTCAGAAATAAAAAAACACAATGTTTTTCAAAGATTTGACATTTACTTCCACACCTCACTTTATTTTCAAGTGAGCATTGAAGGTCAGCAGGAACATTCTTCACAGCAAGGTTGTGCAGCTCTTTATAAATTGGCTGTGATTTTTTATGAAGATTGATTATTTACAATTTACCAACATAAGATACTCTCAGACAATAAGGTAATGATGACAGGCAAACCATAGTTCCCTTTGAAGGTATTGATACTTTATTTTAATCAAATAATTAGAAAATACATTTGTGTTTTAACTTAGGCTATACTATGTTTAATCAAGTACTTTTTTATACCAATACTTTGTTTGATGATTTCCATTTTCTACTACTTTATAATTATACTCTGCCATATTATGCTAAATTATGTAAAGTTACATTTCATTAAGCCCTAAGTGAAATTTACCCAGCAATATAAAGAAAATAGTACAAACCATTACCAGCTGAATGGACACATTAAAAGCATCACCAATTATAATTAATCAACATAACATACACTTTTCTGAAATGGACCATTTGTAATTTTACTTTTTGTTCTACATGTCTGCACTGTGGTATTTTTGCTTAAAAGCTCTGAATACTTCTTCCACCACTGCTTACTGTAGGGCAGAGAAGCCTGAGGTACTGCAGATTTACTTGGATTGTCACTATTGTCACGCTGAGTGCAGTTTATTGTTACATTTCAAGAACTAGAAAAGTATTTTTTATGATGAGGTTTGAGTTTGAGAGGGGTCAAGGAAGTTGTAAAAAACGATCTTTTTTTTCTTCACCAGCAAGGAGGTACAAGAGCATGCTGAAGTTGCTCAAGCAACAGGTCATTTGCCTTCCTTTGCTGGAGATGCCCATTCAAATATAAACCAACTTCATACAATGTCCACTTACGTTGAAAGCACTGCTATACCCTCAAGAAAAGGCATCTCCAAATCTATCCAATCATAGGCAACCACTTTGCGCATTTTTGGACTTCTCCGCGACATTTGTGCATCAATTAAGTCTCAATTATGTTTAACAAGAGTTTGCCTCAAGAAAGAATAAGTCGTACATTACATGTTTCCATCATTTTGACAGCATGAAGCTCGTGAATGACGCACGCAGACGCAGGGGGTCATAGCCCATAGTATATAAAGACAGTCACAAAGGCAACCGTAGACACCACCAGACTTCCCCATTAAACACCTCTACCTGTACCGGCTGCTATGTCTCTGGAGGGTTCACTCTTCACAGCCCCAGAGGACAGCGGGGATCCGGTCCTGAATGTCTCCACATGGGAGCAGCACCAGTACCATATCTGGCTCCCTGGCATCGGGATCGCTGCTGTCTACGGGATCATCATTTTCGTGGGTCTGGTGGGGAATGTCACGTTAATGAGGACGTGTCTGATGGTGAAGTCCATGCGCACGGTGCCCAACTTGTTCCTATCCAGCCTGGCTCTGGGGGACGTGCTGCTGCTGCTGACCTGCGCCCCGGTGGACGCCAGCCGGTACCTGGTGGACGAGTGGCTGTTTGGCCGCGTTGGATGCAAACTGATCCCGTTCATCCAGCTCAGCTCGGTGGGAGTCTCCGTGTTCACCCTCACTGCTCTCTCCGCTGACCGGTAACTCAGGCATGCTTTTATAAAAGTGTTATTAGCTTATCTTCTTCTTGAATCCTTAAAGCGTGAGTCTTCTTTAGATTTAATATAACAACCAGAATGGCATTTACTGATGCAACATGACATGAGGACTATAGGGTTATGTTTATGCTCACACATTTACCCCCTTATGAACGTCTTTATAATGTTCTGGATTGTTTATGTTTATTTATCAAATTGGCTGTTCTGTTATCTGCACATTTTATTTGGAATGACTGTGTATATAAATGACTATAAATCCACCGACAGACCAAATCCGTTATCAGATATTTGTCTGTTTCCCCCATGAAATACTTATCATAATATCAGTGGAATGCAGTCTTGTTTTATCTTAACCTTTAATTATAGATCATGCTTTATTCATTTATTGATTATAGAAATACTTTATCAAATCTTAATCTGAATATCAGAAGTATAGTACATCCAAATTACATTATATGAGTAAAGTAGTTACTTTACATCAATAATGTCCTCTGGTAGGGAAAGTGTATTCTTGTGTTTTTGAGTTGCTGTTAAATTGAGGGACACCCATACTGGTTTTCAAGATGATTAACAGATTAAAAAAATAGAAAGTACATCAAAATGTGTTTATTTTCTCACACTGTTATCTAATCTCCAGTGGCGGAGCCAGGACATTTTCAGTGGGGTGGCCAGGATGGAACCAGTGATCATTTTGGGGTGGCATTGAAATCACTATTATATGAACATAAAAATACATTACAGGGTTATTTAAGGCACCTACAACACACCTCTACATTATTTGGGATTAAGCTAGTGGTGGAATAGATCAAATAATATTCAGTATATCTAACTATTTTTGTTCTTATTCCCACAGGCAAAATAACAACGAAGCTTACATTATACAAATGTAATGCAATATATACAGACTGTTTAGCTTATGGTGATCAGCAGCCCTATGAGCTCATTCTCTCAGTGTATCATCAGGAATACAGAGACACACACACATCATTTAAATAAGAGTTTTTAAATTAAATGATTGGTTAAGAATAAACATCTTAAAGTAAATAACAATAAACAATAGCCCTTAACCCTGTAAGGCCCCCGGTTGTAATTTTACAACATTACTTTAAGCTATCCAAAAAAGTCAGTAAATGGGTTTTTTTAAATACTACATTTACATAGTCAACAGGTCCTTTTGTTCAGCCTCACCATGCTATTGGGTAGTAAATGTGTTTATAGGTCCTGCCCTCTGGCCATACATAAGACTAACATTCCTGACAATAGATCTCAATAGTCATCTTTTATGGTGTAAATGCCTTTTTAATAATAACATTTTTGAATGGAGCATTCTCAACACGAATGCATCAATCCAAATGAATATAACTTAAATATGTGGGAAAATACTGTGTTTGAAATGTATAATTGAAATGAGACGTTAGCTTTTTGTTTTGATATATATATTGTATTCCAGTCTCCCTTCAGATATGTTAAGTGGCAAGTTAAATGAATTGTAAGTTTAGTGAGTACATTATCAATATAACGTTATATTAATGTTAATTATTGATGAATGATGAAAGGTTACTTATTTTTTTCTTAATGTTCTAAAATTGTTTGGGCCCCCGTGGTGAGGGTGTTTGGGGTGGCCAATAGGGTGGCCAGGATTCAGCTGGGGGTGGCCACCCCCCAGCTCCGCCACTGCTAATCTCTGGTTATTTATTGAGAATAACACAATGATAATATCTCTGAAAATGATTCAGATACTGCGAGGGAAGAAATCGTCTCTTTAGTAACACTGGTCTAAGCACAGATGTGCAGGCACTGGCAGTGACGATTAGTCTAATTATTCCTTCTTCATGAGTCCCATAGAACAACGGTAATTTAATTGAAGGGCAGAGCTACGGTATCCTGGTGAAGATGAATCAACCTAAAGAGAATACATTTTTCGAAAAATACAGAAGGGCAGAAAGAGATCTTCTTTTATTCTCAGCAGCACTTAGATTCTCGAAGCAAAAACAAACATTAAATATCAGTAATGATTCATAAACCCTCATCCTTGATCTTTAACTCAAACTATCAAGGGGTTAAAAGAATCGACTGTGGTTCCTGATGAAAGACTAATTACATTTTCTCTCTCATTTTGTCAGATGAGCTATCAAAGTGAACTTGTATCTGCAGTTGAATATTAATCAGCTGGCTAACACTGATGCATCTATAGAATTGTTTATTAGTGTGTGTTGTAAATAAATAAAAGTAAATCTTTCTTGGAATAAAATAAGTATGTGATCCTTTTTCAGTAATAGGAGGTGCTCTAAACAATTACATACTGTATGTTTAGCAGTTATTTTGACTTCTTTATGCAAACAGTCTTTCCACACAATGCCAAAATGTTGCCTAAATACTCCTCATATTCTTTTCCTCTCTGTTCAGGTACAGAGCTATAGTCAGACCTCTGGACATCCACAGGTCCAGCGCTACTCGGAGTATCTGTCTCCGAGCGGGGGCTATCTGGCTGCTCTCGATGAGCCTGGCCATCCCTGAGGCTGTGTTTTCCGACCTGCACACCTTCACCACCAGCCACACCAACGAGACATTTGTGACCTGTGCCCCTTACCCCAGCGCGGGGGAGCTGCACCCCAAAATCCACTCCACTGCCTTCTTCCTCATCTTCTACATCATCCCACTCTTCACCATATCTGTTTACTACTGCTTCATTGCTCACAGTCTGGTCAGGAGCTCCGTGGAAATCCCTGCTGAAGGAAACCTGCACCTCCAGAAACAGGTCTGAGAAGGTTCCTTATCCTTTTTCTTATTTATAAAGAGAAACCACTCTCTAAACCATATTTGGTCAACCTACTGAGAGAAACTGATTTATATGATATCCTTAGACATGCAAAACTCAATGAGGATAGAAAAATGGCAATGCTATCATGATGTTAAGCAGCTATGACGTTTGCTGCACCATCATATTTTAGTGAACAAATACAAAGGAATGTAGGTGACACTACAATCATTAAGATTAATCCTCTGAGGACCATGACAAGACAATCAACCCAATAGCTTTTGAGATATTTCAGTGTAGATCAAAGACACAAGCTAATTTCTTCTCTCTCTACTCTCCCGGCAGATCAAGTCCAGAAAGCGTCTGGCCAAAACGGTGCTGGTGTTTGTCGGCTTGTTTGCCGTCTGTTGGCTGCCAAGTCACGTGCTCTACCTGTACCGCTCCTACCACTACGACCTGGTGGACACCTCGCTGGGCCACTTCATCGCCAGTGTGTGCGCTCGCATTTTGGCTTTCACCAACTCCTGTGTGAACCCATTTGCCCTCTACCTGATGAGCAAAAGCTTCAGAAAACACTTCAACAAGCAGCTCCTGTGCTGCACTTCCCCCAGCCGCTTCAACAGTCAAAACAGTGGAAGCACCAACATCACCACCGTCTGAAAGGAACGGTGTCCTCTTTAACATGATTACACATGTGCTTCACAGCAATGGAGGCATGTTCAGCGTCTTTGCTCACACATGTTTACTTCTGCTTTAGAAGTGACAACCTCAGTGTGAATTGCTAGCGGTTTAGAAAGATTGGGTCGCGTTTGGTGGGATGATAGGGGGTCAAGGAGAGGGATAGATGACGATTGTTTGGGGATGACCTCAGTCGAACATAGTCAGGGTGTGTTTGAGTGTCTTGGAACATAGGAGTTGAGTCTGCAGGGTGTGGGCACGTCTAGAAAGGTGTCATGCTTTATTATGCAAGCACTGCAGATGTGAAGTCGCTTGACGATGTCACAAACATGTAGAGAAAATATATTTTATCATTGCATGAGGTTAATATTTGATAAAACATTTAAAAGTTTTCTCTGTTGGCCCTTTCTAAAATGTATATGATTGTGTAAAAATAAATGTAGTTGTTGGTGCCTAATAGCTAAGTGTATAGGGCCTAACCACATGAGCAAGTCCCCACTTCAATTCCCATATGGTCGGACTGTTTACTGCACGTGCTTTTCCTAGTCTTTCATCATCTTAAAAAAAAAAAAACAGATTACATCAAGTGTCATTTGCAGTGGAAACCATGCATGAGAGGCCCGACCTTAGATTTGTGGTGCATGTTTCTATTTTAAAAAATGACAGCTAAATATATATAAAGCAGAAAGACCATCTGACATTTGATGTTTGTCAAATATTCTGAACATCTGCTGTTGTGCAGAGTAGAGAAGTTTTATGGGACATTTGTGAAATATTGAGTTATTAGAATTGTCAAATGTCAAAATACATAGACGTGTTCCTGTTAAATTGTGTGCTATTTAATGTTGGTTGGCAGTACCTCTGTATGTATACATATCTTTGTACTTTCTAAATTGTGTTTAATGTGGCTTTCTAATGTAGAGAGAGTTGCAACTAAGAATTATTCTCATTGTTGATTCATTTTAAAGTCTACAAAATATCCCAATTTTGGATTAATCTAATCGTTTAAGCTTTAGTATTATATTGTAGATAGTGGTTTTATATTGAAGCCACAATGTATGTACTATAACTGCTGTGTGAAGTGTTGTTTTGAATTGTCTTCACATGAATATCTTGATGTTTATATCTAATAAAACTTTATCGAGATGTATGAGCTCCTGTGGCCATAACTTTTCGAAAGGGGTTTTGTGATTGTAACATTTAGGCAGTAACATCTCAATGAACAAAAACATAAAACCTTTTGTAACCTATCAGGTTTCTGAGATTCTGTGGCTCTGCTGCATATCTCCATGCAAAGTAAAAGTCTCTGCTGCGTATCTGTTGCAAAGTAAAGGGCTCTGCTGGATATATCTTTGCAAGTTGGAAGACTCTGCATATCTGACCTTTACCCACTCCAACACACATGGTCAGAGCTCAGAGCAGAGGTGTAAATTTAATTAGATTTAATTTGAATGCAGGACACAGACTCCGTGAATGCATAAGATAAGAAAATATTTATTTACTGGGTTCTATTGAATGAAGTTGGATGAGGGGAAAGGTCTGGCTGGTGGAGGCGAAAAGAAGACGGGAGCTGGTGGCTGGGGAAGTATAGAGAGAGAACTTGAGGACACAATTCAAGAGACAGGTGATGCACCATGTTTGCTTTACATTTTGAATGAATGGATGAAGAATCTGATACAGTGCAGAGCAGAGGAGGGATGGATTGCAGGTGTGCAGTTTGGAGAAGTCTAGAAGCATGAAGCACTGACCAGGGTTAGTGAACCCTGAGCCTGTGTATCCCTGGAGAAACGTACAGACTGCGGCTCATGGTTTAACACCTTCTTTCTCACAAGTTGAGACAAAGCATTTGATTGTGAGTTTTTGAGTCTCCCGTACCTTATATATATCTACAAAGACTCAGTGGATCCATAGCACTCTCATTCTTGAGCCAATGATGAGAACAAATACAATACAGTTCCAGCAGCGAGTCTTACTTTGAAATTCTCGTTGCCTTGAACTAACCTGGACCCTTAACACAATCCCACTGTGAACTGTGGCTCCACAGAATGCCAACATTAGTGGTTTTTGATCTTATGTGCCCCCTGTACTCAGAACCTTCCCTTTGTAGCGCATGGACCACAAGATGCTAGACACAAGCAGCAGAAAAAACCTATAAAAACACGCACATACACCCACACTCTACAAAACTTTTGCTGAAAGCCAAGGTTTTTTTTTGTGCCTTTTAGGTGGACTTGTCAAGTTATCTCAGCTCAAACAAGATATTTAAAGTCTCTGAAAAATTGACCTTTTAGGGTGACATTTGAATCCGGGAAATGAATTCCCTTTCAGCAACATCGCATACGAGACTCTATCTCTCAGTTTATCAGATCATTTTTTCTCGCTACAGTTTATAGGTCACAGGCCTTTTCCTCTAATATTTCCAACTTATTTAGTTGGTTTAATATTTATTCTAATTCCATGTTTGATTGATTGATTGATTGAAAAGTTTATTAACAGCTTGTATATTGGGTACAGTACAGTACAACTCAAAACATACAATTGTTAAGGGGATGCAGACCAGAGAAAGACTTTCGTCTTGTTTACATCAGGGTCCCCCATTTCCAATTCATCATGTCATTTAAGACATATAAGACATATTTGACATACAGATGGCTTATTTACAATTTACATACAGGTGGTTTTTTACATACAGATTGCTTATTTACAATTTGCTTATTACATATTTTACAGTTTAACATTGAACACCTCTCATCTTGAGGGGCTTTAACCAGTCAAAGAAAAAGCTCAGGATCTTTATGTCAGCTGAATTTATTGTAGGAAGTTATGTGGATCCGCACTCAGGGTAACAATGATGTGGTGACATTCATAGAAATGTAAAAAAACTCACTTCGCAAGTCCTCAAATGCCTGCAAACATGCACTTTACATTACGGGTCAGAAACCACAATACCATATTTGAGCCTTACAGTCAGGAATTGCAATTGTGTAAATAGGAGCCAATTAAAGCTAAAACAGTGAAGTCCCACCTGCTGAATGAAATCACTTGTCCAGCTTTCTAACATATATAGACATTTTTATTCATTGGGATAAACCCCTTGAGATGCACCATCTCGTTTTCAAGGGGGTCCCGACAATAGCAACAACTTACATACATAAACAAGAAGACAAAATACAGTCTGTTAAGTAAAATTCAAGCAATGCACACAATCATTACAATTTGAGACAGTCGAGCAAATCAGTTTCATCAATATCAGTTTCATTAATAACAGTTGAAAGTGAGATGATAATGCATGTTTAAACATACCCAATGATGCAAGAGATCTAATAGCAGCAGGTAAAGTATTCCAGTCTGTTGGAGCTTTGAACATGAATGCTTTTCTGCCAATCAATGTTTTTGCAGAGGGGACAGCGAAATAAATCTGAACAGAATGTCTAACTTGATGATTTGGTGAGTAGGGTACAAAATACTGCTTTAAATAAGGGGGATAGTTAAGATAAATGCATTTAAATATCAGCTGAAGCCAATGCGTGCCTTCTTACATTTAAAGAAGGCCATTTAAGTTGGTTATACATTGTGCAGTGATGTGTACATAAAAAAAAATTAAAAAAAACTTTTTACAAAATACAGTATTTACTCTTAGTGGATACAGAGTCTTCTTCTTTCTTGCTTTACAACCCAAGATTTTTGTCATTTTCAAACTTGTAGTCCTCAATGGATACGTACTCAAGGGACATGGCTTCTCAGTCTCCGGAGCCAATAATACTACTTTTTCACATTGGCAGTAGTACTACCAACAGCTGTAAACTGATTTGTTTGTATAATCTGGAAAGTTACCCATTGCAAGGTTTTGGAATAAAGTAGTATAGAATTTATGAAAAGGAAATAGAAAACACTTCATTATACATATAAAAATACAAAACCTGATACAAATGAACTGCAATATGAATATATTGGAACTTCTAATGCTTGTATCCAAAATAGCATGAATAACAATAATTATATCAAAAGCAACAATACTATAAAATACAGATGACTGATTTAGTTTCCATGTTCTCTCGATGTCCATTTTTTCCCTTGCCAGGGACAAGGCACAAATGTGAAGGACAATCAGCATGGGGCGCACAAAGAGGCAAGGTTTCAGGGCAGAGACGTCTCATTGATAGAGGAGGAAGTCCTTGATACTGTGAGGGAGGGAGAGGCCAGAGGCTCGGTGGAGACGACTCCTTCCCAGACTTCGACGAATACCGAGGCGACAGAGCTGCGACAGAGAGCAGGGACCTGGGCAGAGATAAAGGGTAGGTTTGTTACACCTCAGAACGAATAAATGGAGTTTATGTAACATGCATGAGTGTCTACAGCAAACCTTTTTTCTGCAACGTGTCCCTAACTGTGCTGTTTGGCAATGAGAGATCCAGAGGAGTCTTTCCCTCTGCATTCCTACAACACCCATCAGCCCCGAAGTCCAGCAGGAGATCCACAACGTTGGCTCTTCCACTTCGAACTGCAGCATGTAAAGGACTGTCCTGCCCACACCCGATCCGAACATCTGCTCCTACACAGTCACACAAAGTGGTTTAACAACAGATTCAGTAAAGGGCAAACAGACAAATAACAAGATTCAGACCTTGAACACAAAAAAACCTTGAAGTGGCCACGCTGGTTTGTTTGGGTCACAATTAAAAGGAAGCTGTACAGAGACAAAATAGGTGTCTATTAAAAACATGAAAAGATGGAAACCTATGGAAGAACTCTGACAAAATGTACTTCTGTATCTTCAAATCGTTAAATCTTCAGATTTTTTTGAATTCTCAAATGTGTTTTTTTTTTTTTACGCCTAAACCTAAAGATATACAGTCCACTATAACAATTCAAAAGCACCAAATATTCCCATTTTATAGACTGGAAACAGAATCATATTTGGTATTTATAATGGAAAAAAATCATCTTGAAGTGTTTAATGGCTATTCACATGTTGTGACAATGAAACTCCTCTAATGACACGCTATATGCTACTTTATGCCTTTGGTTTGATTAATTCCTCTGGGATATTTTTATTTGACTTGTGTAAAAGGTTTTTGAGGTTGTTGAAAAATAATTTTGTCATTTTTGTTTCTGTTATTGATTAAAATCAGTAAAACCAGCAAAGGCAACACTTTTTTTACTCTGTATATTGTGACAGTACATTACCTGAGCATAGCAGCGCCCTGACACAGGCTGCAGTCTGGGCCATGCAGGCAGAGTACAGCGGCGTCCCCCCCACCTGCAGCTCCATGTCGATGTGAGCTCCATACGACAGCAGCAACTCCAGACACTCTCTGTGACCTGATGGAGAAACAGCATGAGCATCTGTGCACTGACAGATCACATCTTTATACTTAGCATACATGTTTAAGACTCACCTTTCTTAGCAGCCTCATGTAGAGGTGATACTAGCTGGTAGGGGGTGTGTGTGGAGGCACCGTGCTGCAGCATGAGCCTGACACAAGCAGCACTCCCACTGCTGCAAGAGTTGAAGAGAGGTGTGGCACTATCTGTTGAAACTGCCTCCACCTATGGGGGATTTGAAAGAGAATGATACTGGGCCAGAAGCACTTGTAAACAACATAAAACAACAAATACGGTCTGTAGAAAAATGTCCTTGACTTATGATGGAGTGCTGTTTCATGCTAGAAGAGGGTAATGTAGCCTTGAGATGAGAATGAGCTACCATGGATGGTATAGAAAGCTCACCTCTTTCTTACTCCACACCTAAGATTTATTTTCAAACTTAAAGTCCTCAAAGAGCAATTAAATGATTTTATAGCTTTACATAGACAGTTATACTCCCTTTCCGCTTTATGTCTTTCAAATAAGTTGTATGAGCATGTCAGCCATGTGATACATGCACACATGTTTTTTTTAAACTGGCATGTACATTATCTCAGCTTCTCATTTATTTCATTTTGTGTTTTTGAATATGGGGCATTCTACCGAATTAGTACAAAGTGCGGTCCCACAACAAGAAAAACTATTTGAAAACTATTTAACAATGCAAAAGTATTCAGACATAGATATTTGCTAAGAATATGTTATGGTCTAGACTCTATTTAAACACAATGCATTCAATTAGATAGTGATAAGCTTAATATATACAAAAAGATCATTTAGGGTACTTTCTATTGGGAAGTAGCTGTCCCCAACCCTGACATTTAAATTTAAATTTCTGTAAATAACACTTAAAAATTGTTTTTAAATGTTGTTCAATGGTGTATTTAGAAGATCTTTATGATTACATTCAAACAGAAGTTGGACTATTTAGATTTATTGTGGATATCATTTATAAATAAAAAAAACTATACTCAAAAAATCATGTCCCCCTTTTTCATGTCACTACTGAAACACAAGGGGTTTTAGTCCAATGGCTGAGTCTGGTTTTTAGCCACACCCCTGCACTTTTGACAAGGCAGTGACACTGCATCCCTGTCCCTCATGGCTGAATGGCAAGTAGCTATATCCCATACTTTCAATATAAATCTGTTCCAAAATCTGAAAATCGGCCTGCCTTAAGAATTGTCACTACCGAACACATATTATCTTCAATTAAGTAAACTTTTTCGGGGTTTTATGCAAAGTATTATGTTTTTTATGTGTGCAATCCTCTTCAAAGACGTGTATGCTAGCCATGTACTTGCTAGCATTCTTTAGTTATGCTGAAACTTAGCTAGAATCGTCACTACCGAAACATATGGCTACGTTTCGGTAATTAACATGATCGTTTCGGTAGTGACAAAATGGAATGATAAGCAGGTAAATCCCACCATTTTGAAATAAATGTGTTTTAAAGTCTGAAATTCAGTGTGTTACTTTAAAGGTCTCTTATTATACTATTTTTAGGCATATATTATAGGTCTCAGATATATAAAAAAAACATGTCTATGAAGTGTTTTGCTCAAAATACCAAACAGATCACCCATTCTAGCCTCATTCCCCTCTATTTCAGCCTGTTACTAAAGTGCTGATTCTGGGTCAGTAGCTTCAAACATTCACACTTTAACATAAGGCATGTTATGAGTTAAGATTAAGCAATAAGGTTGAGGGAATATGATACAACCTTGAGAACAAGATACCGTGGTCACTACCGAAACAGTGGATGTTTTGTAAAAAATTAAGTATATTGAGTTATCAACTAAAATGATATGATACTGATTGGTTTAATGCATGTTCAATTTCAACAATCCTCAACTCTGGAATCAATATGATCAGTATTATGCATTTTACAAAGAAAGTTTGCATTGTGATTTTTATGAATTGTATAAATTGAACTTTGAAATTTGATTCATAATGAACTTTTATTAATTTAATTGTGAAAATCCTCAAGAAATATTTGTTAAAATACTATTTAGAGAAGGGAAGGTAAAACAATCTTAACAGGTTACTATAATACTTTTTTACTGCAGTGTATGTACTATGTTTCGGTAGTGACCATTTTTGGTAGAGGAAGAACATTCCAATACAGTCTGAAAATACGATATCAAAATGTACGGTTCTTTTACTAGATATGTGTAATTTAGATATGGTACAAAAAAAACATACAACATTTCAAGACATTTCCAACCTGACTTTAGTCCAATTCGGTAGAATGGCCTGGTTCAAGTGTTTAAAGTAGATATTTAGTTTTGAGGGGTCTGCTACACCAACTAGTAGGTTTTATAATTTTCACACTGTTGAAGACCAACAGATAGATGACTGCAATGAGCACTGATAATGTCCATAAAATCAGCTGATAACATTGAAAGTGGGTAATTAAACAGATGTACAATCTCAAGGTTTTTCTGTGTTCTCCATGTATGACAATTCAGATGAGAAACACCCCAAAAACAGTCTTTAGAATAAAAATACACAAATGTTCTTACATTTGCACCACTGTCCAGCAGGAACTTTGCACAAGCATAATGGCTGCCAAGGCAAGCTTCATGGAGAGGAGAGACTCTGTCCAAACTGAGCGTGTCTACATGGAAGCCCTGCAGGGAGATCAGAGGGAAATACAGTCAGATACAGCCTAGCATTGCATTGTGAGCAGACATCCAGGTGGACCCAAGTTCACCTGTGCGATGAGGCTCCTCAGGTGTAGCAGTCTGCCTTGGTAGGCGGCTTCATGGAGAGGAGTTCTGTCGGACCAGAAATCTAAAACACAACAATAATATCAGGAAGGTCTTCACATTTGGAAAACAACAAGATACGCTCATAGCCAACTGATCCTGCTCTTGGTTCATTGTATTGCTAAAATGACCTCATTTCAATGCATGTTTATCTGGTTGTTCAGGGTCATTACTCATTACAAACACCAAACCTATTGAACAATACACACTTAGGATTGTGTTTAGTACTGCAGAGCCAAGTAAACAATATGCTAATGGTTCAGGTACAATCAAACTGGTATCCTGACAAAAAAATGTAATGACACACTGATCTGTTTGTTTAACCTAACACATGCAAAGCTAAACCACACTTACTAGAAAGTTTCTGAATTTGTTCAAGAAAATACAAAAGTAATCAATTTGTGATTCTTTCATCACAGAAGAAAAATGAGCTTGAAAAGGACAAACAAGACAGAGAAAAAACTTACCAGCCATCAGTGAGTTGCATGCCAACCCCCCGTAGATGTACAGGGGCCTCTGCCAAGGTTGGGTGCAAAGGGAAACCTCAGTCTGAACTGCAACCATGATGTAAATGAAACAGAAGACGTGTCTAAGACTTACCAGGACTAAGGCTCACCCAGGAGAATACACGGACCTGTGGTCGGCCTTCCTTCTTCCCTCTCTTATCTGGGTCCTTGGCCACCTCCTCCACATTGCCACCTCCCGGCTCCCGCCCACCCTTGTCCCATTCCATGCATATAGTCTACAGTATGAGCATAACAATGGATTTCTTAGGGCTTGTTCTGATGATATACCTTGAATAAAGCAGTAAGAAATGCGCATACACACAACTAAAAGCAGAGCGGCACACAGGTTTGGACATGTTATTAAATAGAAAAAGAAGGGTGTTATCTATGCTCTGATAATATACTTTCTGAGCTTAAAATGATCTGCGACTGTATCAACATTTTATGAAAACACACAGTAAAAATGTCCTAAAGAAATGTATTCTGAAACAAAGCAAAACAGCTACTTATAACTCAACATGCTGACGCACATCCTCTGATTTATTACAGATTTATTTCATAACAACATAGTGTTGTTTTAGTAAGTTGAGTTCTTCAGTCACTGCAGGCAAGATGTAATGTTCAACTCTAATTGCAAGGCTATGCAAATCCCCATTGTTGGCCTTGTTCACCTCCTGTTCCACAGCTAATCTGTGTTTTGCCTTCAGAGCACTCTTTTTTGTTAAACTAATTTTGTTTACACTGTCTTGTAATGGTCTGGGAAAAGATGAAACTCCAACAAGGTAGTAGACGATCCCCATGAAATTACATGAAAACAGATGAAACATTAGAAAAAGTACACTTTATTTTCCATTGTGAACTGTCTGGGGGTCAGTCACTAACATAAACTCCCAGGTGTTGTATAAATATGTAACATCTCGAGTTAAATGAGTGGCATTCATGATTTTAAAACCAGACAAATAAAGACATTTGCACAAAAATACATAGAACTGTGTGCAAACAAGGAATTTTATCGAAAACTAATTGTTCTAAATGCTTTATGATTGAACTGAAAAATAACCCTTTTTTGTTTCCCAGTAATTGTACAATTAACCAGCCCTTTAATCCATCTGTTACAGTGCAATCTATACTAAGTTTTTTTTTTAAAAGTGCTTATTAAAGCTCAAAGGAGTGCCACCAGTTTCCATTTCAATGCCTAAATATTAAAAAAAGCTCTTTTCAAGTCTTACATTTATATCTTCACACAAGGTAGTCCTTTTGGATTAGTGAATGTAAACAATAATCTGGGTTACCATGAGCATATTCTGCAAGTAGTAGCCATGTTTTAAATGTCAGTAGGCACCACGGAGAGAACATATAGCACATGTAAGCAGCTCAAATGAAGCAGAGGTATGGAGTTATCATAATATTGACATTTCTGGTTCTGCTGCTCGCTTCACTGCACTTTTGGAATTGGCTCTGATTTCACCGCCAGCTTCCTTCCACAGTCCGTTAGGGCCGGTGGCGTCTACTGCCGCGTCCATGACCTGATCTGGGGCCCACCACTGCAGGAACAGCAGGAAGAGGAAGTCTAAAACAGCTATGAAGGCAAAGATGGAGCCAGCTACGGGGCCACAGTGAGCCCTCAGCCTCCGTAACCGTTTGTCCAGGGGAAGCACCTCCTCTCCGGCCGCTCGGTCGTACACCTGAGAGGAAAAGACAATGAACAGAGTCACCATTTACATTCAGTGTGAAGCTTTCAGCTGTGTGAATGAACAGCAGTTTTACATGCCCAAGAAAAATCAGGTTAAACAGGAAATCCGAGAACCAGTTTACACTTTGCTACCGTATCGATGAAGATATTTCCTTTAGAAGAGCTGAGGGGAGAATTACTAAACTCCTTCTGTGGAAACTCACTTATTCTACTATAAACTACTAAATGAAGGCTTCAGTTTTAGTCAAATTAAATTAAATACTTTGTTTAGGTGTTTTTAATCTAAAAAATATGTTTAATCGAAGTTGAATTCCATTTGAATTTGAACTACCCAAATATTGACAGATTTGGCTCCAGTAAACATGACATACCTCGACTACAGTACATGACATCTCAGAAAAAGAAACTTTAAGCCAGTTAACTACAGCACACACTATCAATAACCCGACAATGGATTTTTTACATCCAAAATCTAAACTAAAGCTTTAACGGCAGCTCGCTTTGGTCTGTAGAGGGAACAAATAAATAAAGAAAGCTGATAAAAAAAGGTGCAGCTGTATTTACAGACATCTCTTTATTATGAAGGCATGCACAGGTGTTAGTGAATCCACCTTTTCCGTCCTCTCAGCAACGTTTCTCCAGGTGTAGAGGTTTTGCACACGAGCATGGATAGAGGCAGGGGAGGGGACTGAGGCTGAGCGCTGCCGGGCGATGACCGTCTCCAGACCAGCACACAACGCCCGCACCGTTGGCTCACACATGGTGATCAACTCTTCAGGCAACACCTCAGGAATGCCCCCCACACGAGTGCTGACCACCTGAGAAACAAAACAAAAAGTGGATGAGCACATTGTATACAAACACACATAATGATAAATCACACTTTATGTGAGAGTAAAACATCTGCTCTAACATCCCTTTCAAACTAAGGAGAGAATAAATAGCTGAAAACGTATTGGACCTCTTATTGATAACAAGTTCAAATCTTTTTCACCTCTGACCGCACCCTGCATCACATCCAACAGTGAGGCTGCTGACCACACCCAGAGAGAACTGAGAGCCAGACAAACCCAGACTTTCATCTTGTAGTTACTGACTCCTAAATAAGCTATTAGCCTTAATATGTTTCTTTAAATTAAAAGAACACTCAGGGGAACATTTCAGGCACAGATTACATTAAATCGCTGGCTTTGTCAGCTGGCGGTGGATTTTCAATTGTTCAGACATAAGTGACTTTTTTACTTCAATTGTTCCTTACAGCTTTATTCAGACGTGACAGAGACGGTTCTCCTAGCTTTACTCAAGTATAACCTAGTTCCTGATAAAAACTAGTTATTTTCTCTTTCTCCTGAGAAAACACCAGACCCAACTTCCCCGTCACATGTGAGTGTATGGGTGGCCAGCTGCAGTCATTTACAACTATTATTTTTAACAATATATATATATATATATATATCTTTTTTTAATGTATGGCTCCTTTTGCGCCACAAACTTTACATGGAGGGTACGACTTTTTGAGTATAAAACGTATAATTTTTTTCCAAAGCAGTGCTTTGCAGCAGACTTGAGCAACCACCTACGAGCTCACCCACAGAAAATCTGCCACAAGGACACTTCCTCAACTGTGTCAAGACAACTACATTCAGTTGTAAAGGCTGTTTTGCAACATGATTAAAGCAGAATGTTAAGTCTGGAAAATACAAGTTTCAGCATTGAATAACAGCCAATTCTTACAGACAAGAGTGAAAGGTTGAGAGACAATGGGAGGAGTAAAAGAAGGCGGGAGGGAGAGACAGAAAGTCTACTGTACTAAGGCTGCATCTACACGGAGACGAAAACGAACCGAATTCGATATCAAAAAAGTCTTCCGTCCACACAGTATCAGCTCAAGAAACGTGTCCGTCCACACGAGACCGCTCGACACGCTGGAAACGCTGTAGTAAATATGCCGGGCCTGTAAGTGGCGCTGTACTTCCGCCACAAAATACACCAAAAGCAGCGAAGAAGACCTCCCGAGCATGGTTGCCATGGTTGCCCTTCTGTTTATTCTCTGCGGTGGATTTAGCAACATGTAGTTCATGTAGTTCTCCATGTCCACTTGTTGCTGATGGTTGTGGTAGAGGAGCTGTAGATTTTGCTCTAACATCTGTAGCATGGTCAGCAGAGGTGGGGAGAGGCGGAGCTATGGCTTCATCGTTATCAGGAAATGATCGTATAGGACGTACACACGGAGCCGTTAGGCCCCCCAGAGCGTTTCGTCCAAAGATCTACCCACCTTGGGAGCCATTATCGTTTGAGGGCTTCGTTTCCGCAGTTCCGTTATGGCCTCGTGTGGACGAACCGTCCATACCATAGAGAACTGTGGCAGATGCAACCCGTTTTGTGTCCATGTGGACGGGGCCTAAGTTCCACCTTTGAAATATTTTAATGACTGAACACATTGCTGCTGTGACCAAATAAGTTCCCAATGTGGGATGAATAAAGTATATCTATCTATCTATCTATCCATCTATCTATCCATCTATCTATCCATCTATCTATCTATGATATAGAGATATAAAAAAAGACAAGACAGATACACAGACAGACTTTTTCCTACCATTCCCTATCCTTGACCTATTTTATAAATGGTTACATACCTGCAGTCCACAGCTGGCTCCTTCTAAGATGGCCATGCAGAACGCTTCAGTCAGAGACGTGTTGAGAAAGATGTGACCCTGCACCAGAACGTTACGAACATCTTTGTGCTCTAAAGCCCCAAGCAGACGCACCCTGCAGTCACACAAATTAAAAGAATATGGCAAATGCAATACTACCGTAACAAATAAAGAGTTCAGTGTTTTACTATCAATGTCAGAGTGCTGTTGTCGTCAATTGCTGAAAATTCACACCACAGTCACTTGGTTTCCTCAGATATCACAGCTTAGTTACAATCATTTCTTAATATTTGAATAAGCAGTAAGCTAAACAGTGTTGTCTACCTATAGTATGTGAAATGCAGCTGCTGCAATATGACAGTGCTGGTGAAGTAGCAGAGAGCATGTTTTAAAAAAGGTTTAAGTGGTACCTCCCTTATCACTTTTTAGGGATATGAGTATACCTGTCATGTAGTTGGTATTTCTCTCTCACTTCCTCCAGAACAAGTCTCTTTGGTCCCTCTCCACCAATAAGGAATTGCAGATCTGGATGTTTGTGGCAGAGCACTGGAATTATTCCACCAAGAAGGTCGATACCTAAACAGAGGAAGAGTTGGTGTACACTTGCTATAAAAAGAAAATGATGCAATTCTTAATTAAAGCTTATTACAGGCTGACAGAAGCTGACTATTTTAAGATTTATGAATGTTTAAGAATCAGATATTTATATTGAATGATTTTATGACTAACACCGTCCCTGGAATAAGTATTAATGCAAGTTTGATTTGTGCAAACTCAAGCGTTTTGAAGCGTTATTCACCAAAATTCACATTCTGCTGATACCCACTGTCAAGCCAAAATGTAATCAATAAGCTTAAATGTCTAATACAAGAGCTTCTCAGTACCTTTGCGGTAGACGAGACGGCTGACAACAACAATAGTGATCCTGTCGTCTTGGCGCTGGGAGGGGTCAGGGGTGAAGTCAGTAGGGTCGACAGCGTTGGGAATAACAGACACTATCTCTGGGTTGAGTGCTGCGCGGAGCACCGTGTTCTCCTTACTGGTGTAAGACACGCACACAGTGTGGTTGGTATCACACAGCGACACCGTCAGAAGCTTGTTGGTCAGCACGGAGCTCACATCAGCAAACCCGAAAAGTGAGTGGTCGGTGAACACCTGAAAATGAAAATACGCTTTAATTTCAGCAGAATATGTGCTGTGAAATGCTTCTGAGACCTGGCTCATAATAAGTCAATTACCGTGGTCAGGCCCATGGTCTTGGCGTGGAACAGTGCATCATGGCCCATGGCGGAGAACGAGCTGTGTGCATGCACCACAGTGATGCGTTCCCTTACAAACACACAGCGCATCAGTGGGAGACTGTGGAAGCAGGTGGTGGCTGTGGACTGGTTGTACATCACCTGCAGGGGAAGGTAGTAGACCTTCAGTCCGTTGGTCAGGTGCCTGACACCTTTCCTCCTGCCATAGGCATGCGTGACAATGACCACCTTATGTCCTTTTTCAATCAAACACTGCGATAGCTGGTAAATGTGACTTTCTACTCCTCCCATATTTGGGTAGAAGAAGTCTGACACCATGCAGATGTTGTGCTTCCTGTTGGGGATCCCAGCAGCCTCTGCGGGAGCTGCAGATGTTCCCTGAGATGAAGAGTTATTCACAGCTGCCGCTCTTCTTCGTTGGCCCATTGTAGATGCCTTGTGTGTCTCTGATCCTTACTGAAATAATACGTTTAATAATCGGTTAATAAATGAAAAGCAAAATGAATGGGTGAAATATGTGTTTTGATAATAATAAATAAGTTAAATAAAATTTCAAGCAAAAATAACATAGTTTAGTGTAGAAACAGTACAAGTAAATGTCCCAACAATTTTGAATATTAAAAAATAACTTATCTTATTTATGACCAAGAATGCCAAACACTCCCTGTTTCCACATTTTTAAATTGGGTTTAACTTTTCTCTTATGTTATTTTCATTACAAATTATATATCTGTTGGGCTGTCTATCATTGTTTATTTGATTGTCATTAAGTATTAAAAAATGCTAATTTGGTTTTCTCAGATCAAAAGTTGACATCTTTAATGTGTTTATTCAACAACAATGCAATAATTAAAGCTATTAAGTTCAATGTTAACTTGTTAATTCAAGAAGATGAAACAAAAGCTATTTATGGTTTATGTTTTTTATGAATGACTTCAAATTGTTTATTTATTATAAAAAAGGGAATGATAACTAGACCCAACCTTTCATTTCAGCACTAACTACATTCAACTGAAATCAAGATTGTATTGATTTATTATCATTAGCACAACAACTACAGACAAGCAGTATTTGCAGTGAACATCTTGATTGAGGCTCTCAAAAAAGTTAGTTTAATTTGTAGGCCATAAAAACAGTAAATGCTAAATAAAAGGAAAATAAAAGGAAAATATTGAATAGTTATATACATTTGTGGCAGACAGTATTTCAAAAGGAATATACTGAATGTAAAGAGCCATGTCGTAAATGTATTTTAAAATAAGAAATATATATAAAAGTTGTACAGCGATGTAAAAAGTATGTACTAATAATGGTCCATGATCATAGGTTATAACTACACTCCAGGTACTTGATAGTGAATCACACATAGCATCATAAATAAATAATAGAATATCTGTTATAAACCACCCCTGGTACTGTCAGTGTAAATTAGCTTCTGTCTAAGCATTAGTAGAGTGAATAATCCCTTCAACTTGCATTCACTATGCGTTAAATATAGTAAGATATTCAAGCTTGCTCATCAGCACATATAGACAGTATTAACAAAACACTGCGTGAAGGGACTATCTGCCAAATATAAGCCAAATTAACGTTGTTCATAACTAGTTCTGTTTACGTTAGCATCAAGCTAACACACTTTGTTCATACGTAACCACTTTACTGACATTAAAACAGAGAGTTTCCTATCCTTCCTACATGCCTTACCTTGGACGAAATGTCAATTCTTTTTCAGACTGGGAAAAAACACAAAACTCTTTTTCAAAATCATTTCGACTCGACAGTCCTGAGCTAGCATGTTAGCCACCTGTATCACTTCCTGGTGCGCTACTACGTCACACGCAATGGCGTACCACGGTGATGTTGTTTCTCATTTATTTGTACACAGTATATAATTTAGATCTAGACGTTACAAGAAATGTAAATCAAAAAGGTTAAATAATTATTTCATATAATGTGTTACACTTACATGTATGTTGTTGGATTAGGGCAGGCAATGAATATATCACTAACCTTTATCATCAATCTGGGTTATTTTCTCATAAATTACTTTTCATTAAATTAATTTTATATTTATTTAATAAATACATATTCCACAAAGCTGTTCCTTCCATCTGCCAAGACGTTTGTGACGTGACATTATATTTGACATTTTATTTAACATTGACACTTTTTTTTGTAAGTCTTGAGCGTCACAAAGGAAGCCCCCTTTGATATAATTTACTTTTGGAATATAACTTCTATGATAGATTGGCTAAGGCTAGCACAAATGTACATACTTCTATTATGAGAAGACGCCATGATCTATATTTTTACAGCTATGACTGTTAGATTTAGATTAATTTATAACTTATTTAATTTAAATGTGAATGGTGTGTATTTACAAGGTGCTGGCTGTGAAGGTATGTATGAGATCAAAGAGTAGGGAGGGAGTTTTTACTTGATCAGTTTGAAGTCATGAACTTATCTGAAATTGTTGAAATCCATGAAAATGTTCTGTGATATTGTTGCTGATTTAGTTGTCTGCCTATAATCTCCATTAACCAGTCACAACATGAAATGTATTCAACAGTGACAAACTCCCCAAGAATGCGGTGAAGCAACTAAATGTAACGGTATCATGTTGACACGCACACAACAAAGAAATTGATAGAAAGAAAGTAACAATGATGAAAGGATACAAACAACATTAGGATTTAGCAACTGAAAGTCTAAAGACAAAAGGGTTTAAGGCTTGTTTACTTGTTCTTACAAAACATTACAAAATATTACATTACATTCATTTAGCTGAGAGAAGTGTGTGCTAGAGTGTATGGTTTAACCATATCCTGGATGAACTAGGAAAGGCTGGATCCCTTCACAGCACGGTAGGCCAGAAGCAGTGTCTTGAAGCGGATTCGAGCAGCCACTGGTAGCCAGTAAAGGGATCGGATGAGTGGTGTTATTGGTTGCGTTGCCTTCTTGGTCAGTACTGGACCCAGCAAAGCATTTTGAAATTTTTAACTTTAAACCTTTGTTGGAAAGTTCACACATTATGCAGTGCACCAACTTCTTTTCAGACTTGGAAAGATTAATCATTGTTTGCTTGTTTGGTATGTAACCATTATTCACAGACATTCGTTTTCGGTGTCAGACCTCTAAATGTCACAAAACTGTCACAGACCTTGATGTACTATATTACAAACAATGACCATAACCTATTTATTTACAAAAGTATTACAAATCTGTACTTAGTGAACTATGTATAGGGAAGTTATGGCATATACAGAAAAAAATAAACGCACCATCATAAAGGAATAGAAGAGACTTGATCATCAACGTTAAAGAAACAAGAAAATCACAGTATACAGTAAGTCACCCATGGTACATACATGTCTTAGACCTTCTACACATTTCTGCATTTCATTTTGTTCTAATGTGAAATCAAGATTTATAGTATTTGTATTGTGCTATAAAAAATATCACCTTTGTGTTATATTTGAAAATAATCATATTACATAATATTTACAATTTAAAATATGGTTGCTAAACACATAATACATATTTACTATGATTGTTGCAAAAGCTTGCAATATCAGATAAGGTCCAACATCTTAAATTTGAAGGCAGACATGTTTTATCATTAAATGGCTCTGTTTTATACAGTATTTTATTAATAAAGTATACGGGAGTATATATGAATTAGCTTAACTGTTGTGTGTATTAGAGACTTTTGAAAAGAAAAACAAGTAGCATCATACAAACAAGAGTTCACAAAATGGACATTTAAAAAAAAAAGAAAACTACATTCCCAGAGTGGCATGAACACAGGATGTAACCTGCCTCTTAACAATTTATTTGCAGGCATTGTGAATCATACACGTGACTAACCACAGTGAGGTTGAAGGTGCTTTCACTTTTCTTTTCTTTTTCGCGATGTTTTTTTCCTGTTTTGTTAGCCTTTGAAGTTGTTGGTCTCAACTTGTTGTATCCAGGGTAAACTCCTTTATCAAAGACAGAAGATATGGAAAGATAAAACACAACGTCCAATGTCAACACAATTGCTTATTTTTATTTAACTCTGTTTTTCCCCTTATCATTTATTTCTTATATTTATCTTCCTCTCTCCTTTACACATGAACACATCTTGTTTAGTACACACAAATTGGTTTAAACACATTCTGTATTATTCCGTTTGTTTTTCTCCCTATATTTTGTCATTTGATTTACTTTCTGTTATCTTGTTTGGCTGTTTGTGTCAAGTGTTGTGCAACTGGTTAAACTAGTAAACCTGAAATACAAACTGCTTTAGAATCAGATCTTTGGCATTATGACAAACACTTACTATGAGACGACCCTACGGCACCACAAGAGCAATGAAAGTCCAAGCACAAACATAATGGGAATGTAAAAATAGTAGCTTCTTCGTTGGTCCTTGTTGTAGTTGTAGTCTGGTGTAGAGTGAATATTTGTATCTGTGTCAGAAAAATGCCAAAAAATGCCATTATTTGATGGCCCATCCTAAACTTGACTTTAGTTATTTTAAGATATGTTGCATGATGAATGATACAGATAATATCATAATGTATGAGATTAGTTTTGTATCATAAAGATAAAGCAACACTTTCTCAGAATAAAGCAAAACTATGAGTTTAAAAGAAGAAAAAAACTAAGTCAAGCAAAATAAAATTAATTTCAAAAATAAAACTATAAGTTGCAAACAAATCATTTGTGTAATCATGTAAACTATAAGTATTTTTTCTTTGTTTTAACATAGATTTTTGTTTGCAGTTCTTGTTTCTTCTTTCTCAATGATCAGACTTTTGCTCTCGCTGCAGCTCTCTCGTTTGCGCTCCCTCATTTTTTGTTTGAGATTTTGACACAAACATCTCAGGTGGGCGGGACTTTAAGGGGTGCGTCCCCATTGGCTACTCAGTTTTTGAGTGACAGCCCAGTCCTCCACAGATCATACAGTGCAACTCATGCAGCAAACTCCGGAGTCCACTCGGCCACGTTAGTGTCGGTGTCTCCTGGGGAGTTTTCATGAACATATCGGATTTATTTTATGGATTGCAGTGCATTATACTTGTGATGTGTAGTTCATACTTTATTCCAACTTTAAATATTTTAATACCTGAACACACTGCTGCTGTTAAATAATTTCCCAATTTGGGATTGATAAAGTGTCTGTCTATTTATTTTATAGATTAAAAAAACACATCTATGTATTTTTAAGCTAAAGGTGATACACAATATAAACTGTATACTATTATTTTTTAAAGACATGTTACATTTCAAAAGCATATATTGCTATGTTTAGGACAAACAATTAAAGACTGCTTTAGAGCTGAAGCATTCATACACAATGGATAAAACCGGTGTTGTTTCATTCTATATCCTGTGAGAAAATTATATACATTTAGCATTAAAAATTCAACATACTATTCCTAGCCTGAGGAAGATATGAATAATCAACAGATTTGAATGGAATCTCTAACATTTTCATGTATAATAAAGACAAAAGAGTGATTATACAAATTACATTTATTGAAATTTGAACCAGAAGATGAAGTCTCAAAGAATGTTTTAAATAAAAGGACATAAAACAAAAAGGTGGATAATAATAAAAGCTATTAAATGTATATGTAAAGACATTTGGTCAAATGAAATGACACTGAGCCAGTGATAACAGTAACGCCAGCGTGGATGAAGCTGGTGCAGTTCTTTCTTCATGCCCCCCCTCCGTGCTGTCCCCTCAGAGGAAGTGGGAAAACGGGATAAGACTCTGGACGCCACGCTGTCTCAATGATCCACACTGTTAATATGAGAGGAAAATAAATGTTTTAGGAAATGAAAAATATGAAGTTAACAAATAAAACACAGCTCATGGACGGTAGGTTTTCCTACAAAGTTAACTCAGCCTCCATTGATTTTCATATCAAATTAGCGTGTTAATAAAATAAGCTATCATGGCTTATACTTGCATATCTAAACAGAATCATGAAAACCTGTTGGTAGAGTCAGGCACACGAGTCTGTTTGAGTGTGTGCGCCGGTGTCTGAACGCTCACTCACTGCTAGCTATGTAGCTAACTGTTAGGCTACTTAGCTTGCATTGATATGGATCTAAAGGTAGCACAAGCTAACTTTCATAGCACAGCTTTACTTCTCACTTAACACAATAAAGAAAGAGACCGTATAGCACAAACAACACAAATGATCAATACTTACATATATTTTCACTTGTAGTATTATAATAATTGAAATGCTGGTTCTTCTTAGTGATGTGTCAGTCGCGAACGAGCCGGCTCAAAGAGCTCTCGCCCGCGGACGAGCCGGGTTTTTTTTGTTTTGCGGAGGGATCTAGATCGGCTTGAAGGCACATTATGCAATGTGCACATCATCCCGCTTACTACATGGCCACATTCTCAACAAAGTAACGACATGACTCCCAATATTAATTGAAATGCTTTTAGGGATTTAGAAAATGATTTTATTGATTTAAAAATAGTTTTATGTATTGCTTTAAATTGACATGCATCCGCTAAGAAAAGTAGTCCGTTGTTACTGTTTGAACTAACGTAGCATCGGCAGGAACTGCTTCGATAGTGTTTTTGAGGAGCTTTTTGATTACAGATTTGAAAACATCGTTGCTTGCTTTAAAAGTAGCACAATTCATTATGTCAAACCTTGGAAAGTATCTAGATATCCCTGCCCTAATGCCAAAGTAACTGGCAACTGAATATGTGTCGCCGTTTGATGCTATGTCTGGACCGCTGCGTTAAACGGAGGGTTTCTGCCCCATTACTTCTCTTCTTACTTCTATAAGAATAAAACACGGAGGACGGAGATCTCTTTTTCTCCCCGTCTTCTGACAGCCCAGCAGCTGATCTCAGAGCACGCTCCCCTCTCCTGCAGGGGGCGTGGTCAGCTCACAGAATCAGCCCCTGCAAAAACAGCGCTGGAAAGAGCAAATGCGAAATGAGGCATGGCTAAAATGCAGGATCTTTTTGGTATTTTGAAATAAAAACTATATTTATATACTTTATATAGGTCGATACAGTAGCCCCTTTTTTAAAAAATAGTTTTTATAGGTGTTGCTATCTGTTTTGTGTAGCATGGTTCTACAAGCAAGTCAATGCATTCATTGGGTGGTATCAGAGAGTTACACGGGTCTGTAAAAGCAATGAAAACAATTGGCCACAGCAAATCATTTATAAATATTAAACATGTAATTTTTACTTTTGAATACTTCAGTACAAAGGTTGTATTGAATAATTTAAGTGATATATGTGCACACATATAATTAGTCAAAACAGGGCTACATTTGATTTAATTAAAAGGTATAATATGTGGTCAACTGAAGAGCCGTTTGGGAGCCGAAAGAGCCGGCTCTTCTTGGTGAGCCGAGCCAAATGATCCGGCTCATCAAGAAGAGCCGGAATTCCCATCACTAGGGGTCTTCTGTCCACGCTCAGCTCGCTACTGCACCGCAGCTACCTGCACTGTACAATCGCTGGAGGACTGGGCTGTCACTCAAAAACTGAGTAGCCAATGGGGACGCACCCCTGAAAGTCCCGCCCACCTGGGAGGTTTGTGTCAGAATCTCAAACAAAAAATGAGGGAGCTCAAAAGAGAGTGCTGCAGCGAGAGCAAAAGTCTGATCATTGAGAAAGAAGAAACAGTAACTGCAAACAAAAACCTATGTTAAAACAAAGAAAAAAGACTTATAGTTTACATGATTACACAAATGATTTGTTTGCAACTTATAGTTTTATTTTTGAAATTTATTTTATTTTGCTTGACTCAGTTTTTTTTTCTTTTAAACTCATAGTTTTGCTTTATTCTGAAAAAGTGTTGCTTTATCTTTATGATACAAAACTAATCCCATAATAATGCTTTTTGCAGAGTAGTATTGAACAATAAGTCCCAACCTTTCTGAAATAAATTAAATCAAATAAATACCTGCATTGCAATCAGAGCTGTTGTACGTTGCTATGTTTTTGGCCTTGACGTGACATCTAGGTGCTGAGGTCCAGTTGAGAGTAGTGTTGAGTTGGCTGGAGAATTGGATTTGGCCAGTAGGATCATCCGGGTTGTATTTTTGAGTTATATTAGTGGTGATTGAATTTTGCAGAGGCACTCCATCCAATTCCCACTCAATCTCTGTCTTGTTGTAGCGTCCCTTTACATTACACTTGAAAACATTTACACCTCCACTGTTGTTGGCTGTCTGAAGAACACTGTAGCATGCTGGTGAGGGAAGACTAAAGTTAAAATGGTGCAAGATTGTATTACTCTTACTGTTAATGGGTTAAATAAGAGATTGGTTGATTTGCAAAATAAATTAATGACTTACCATAAATGTTTAGAGTTACAAAGGATTTTTTGTATGTCTCATTAATGCTAAAGATGCATCTGTGTTTCCCCTGGTCCTCTGCTGTGATGTTGGTGAGGAGAATTGAGCAGTTTTCTCTGTTCTCAGACAGAAACGCTTTTCCTCTCTCCTTATATTTGCCCCAGAATGTTTCAGTGGTCTGTGTGTGATTGAACACCTGCGTCGCATTTGGGCCTTCTGTCTGCCACCCAACCTCCCTGCTCACATTTCTGCCTGAGCAGGCGCATGGCAGAAGGACATCGTGTCCTAGGGTGCCATTGATAGTTACATGTTTATCTACAACAGGAAAAGTAAATTCGGGTAAGTTCCGTTTCCAGACTCTCGTAAAAATATGAGTTTTTAACATACATTTTTAAACATTGAATGCTGTAATGATTTGCCACTAGGGTCTCCTAATCAAAACAGAAACACATCCTGGTAATTGTCTTCACTGCCATTGTTATAATTAATGCAGTGTGGTTAAGATTTCTTGATAGCTGATTTTCTTTTCAGACTTATTCGCAGAGGTCTCTTCCTCTCCAAAAAAAAACAATTAGGTGATTTAACATGAATAAATAAGTTTTGTGTTAAAAATCCATGTGGACACTAATGAAAAGGGCTGCACATTTGCTCCGTTTCTACTCTGATGACTAAAAACCCTCCATTAAGATATTTATTTAAAAGGATCTGAATAGTGTATCTTAAAAAGGGAAGTGAGTACGATATGTAAACTGGAGAAAACAATAGTTCCGTGGGGGCTTTCATGACATCCTGTGCATCTGATGAGTGTTTTGGTCTATTGTGATAAGGCGACCACCTGGACCAATTGGTGTTGCCTGACATGTAAGTGATCTTTGATGTATTCCTATAAAGAGTCTGTCCTACAGACATCAGCACACACTCTTCGGGAGGCGTCATGCGTGTACGCATTAAAGATCTTAAAGGACTTTAGTGTTTCTTTGCATAGTTGCCTAACTCATAATTTTCTCTAAACAGCAGCTGATTTTAAGTTGTGACGAAATGTCCATTCCTGCCACCATTCTAATTTTTCTAGTGTTTGTTTGGAACAGCTTTTTATTAATAAAGCTCGCTTTTTGTTCATACTTTTATACCCCAATCTCTCTATTCCGCATTTGGGTCCTGATAACCTTCTGTTCCTGATAGACATACTGCAATGTCTAACAAAGATAGCATCAGCTTTATTTCCAACCATACATCTGCAGTGAACGTATCACACACACACTGATGTCTGCTTTCATTTTATTTTTAAATATGTTTCTTTTAACATTATTTGTATTTACTTCCTTATTCCATGGTAACATTTTCAGTGTGTTTAGAAGGAACTCACAACGTGGCTCCTACTTACATTTAAAATCATTTTAAATAACATTCCATTCTGTATCAGAGCTATTGACTAATTCGATATCTCCATTCTGATTTGTAGTTCAAACAACTGCACAGCCACTCCTTAACTGCACACTTTCCTTTTGTTTGTATTGGGCAAACAGAAAGGTATACATAGTTATTGACAGACAAATGTGAAAAATGTGAAGCTCCAGTCTTACAGATATTCAAAATAAAGTTGTTTAGTTTCAAACAAGAAAAAAAATGTCATATTTTGATGTCGCAGCAAAATTATGGAAACACGTGATTCTTTATGGTTTTTCACTGTACCTTGTGTGTAGGTTAGATGTTGAAAGACGGATAATTAAAATCAAACAGAAATAATTGCATCACTGGAAAGTTTGGAAACAATATCAGTTCACCTAAATACAACAAAAACGAATTGATGGCACAAAAGTTACATTTATGGTAAGCCTTTTCGTGACGTCAAGGCAGGGCTTGTTCCTCTTTATTCACATTAAATGATCATTTTTGAGGGTTTTCATTGCTAACGGCTGTTTCTTTGTTAAAGTTGCGCAAATAACTACATTGAAATGTAAAATTAGGCAACCACTAAACGCACGAACGATCAGACGTACTGTAGCACAAACACAAAATGCAACTTGTGTATAAGAATTACACATCTACCAGTATTGTCCAAGGTCCACTTGCTGAAGTAGCTTACACACTTACATTTACAATTACATATCCCATGTAGGGTAATTGGAAGATAACATGGAACTGTCATAATTCTTCAGGATATGAGGTTAATGTTGAGTGGTTTGTATTGAGGCTTACCTGCTGAGACAGTTAAGACAATAAACACTGCCAGGAAAGTTCTCATGTTGCGACTCAGTGTCTCGAGGATATGCTGTGAACTTGGCAGCCTATTACAATTTCAAGAAGAGTTTCTTATTCTAATTTCCTCCGTGTAGTAGCCTACTATAGAGGTATTTTCTTCATTAGCCAACATTTTCCAAAATCCGTTCAATGCTCCAGAAATCCTTTTACGTCCGAAGCGAAAGTAATAGGCCTACATGTGGTTGGAGTTTCCGGAGTAGCAGACCATTTTAAAATGATTACAAATACGTCAGCATCTGCCTTGTCATCGATAAATGAGCCTCCCACCTATGCCTTCGTCCCTCGCGTTTGCTTGGTCAAATGAGCGACTCTTCATTTTTGAGTGCGCGATTTATTGCGCATTTATGGTAATCACTGAGAAGCGGCACTGACGCTAGTACAAGAATAAAATAATGCATTTTTGTTCTGCTTTATTTGTGATACAAATAATTGTTACCATAAGTTCTACATGAAATGTATACTGTTGGACTCAGTAGGCTACTTGTTAGACCACTGCCACAAGTACAATGAAGTATTTGTACATGATACTTTTCGAGTAATCCTCTGTCAAACCCATGGTCAAACCCCTCCTGAGAACAATAATGCATGTATTCTGCTATATTTTATGAGGGATAAAATCATTTTTTGCGATAAGTTCTACATGAAATTGATACTGTTGGACTCAGTACTACTTGGACTACTACCACAAGTACAATCAAGTGTTTTTACTGAGTACTTTTCGAGTAATCCTCTGTCAAACTCCCTTCTGAGTACAATAATGCATGTTTTCTGCTATATTCAATAAGCGTTAGAAAAATGTTCTTCACAATACGGATAATGTTGGACAGAGTATTTTAAGAGGATATGGTAGATGACATCAACACTAGATCCACTAGAATCGATCAATACTCTAGCAGCAGCATTGTTACCCCTTGGAAAGTCTTTAGAGACTATCCTGGATAGCTGTTAACAACTTTCCTTCAACTCAGTGACACACCCTTGTCCCTCTTGTTGGCCTCTTATGATGCTGCTAATGTCCTTCTACTGCACCTTTTGAAGACTCCAATACAGGCATTTGTACTCTATGTGTTTGGAGAAATGACACAATAAATGGCCCAGATTTGTACACATCGAAATCTTGTAGTGTAGTGTGCAGGAAGAAATACACACTGGCTAAGCCTGCAGGTGATAGGCTTTGTTTTGCAATATTTATTCAAAGGTCACTTCTTATTGAAAATATTCAATTTCTGAGAATAAATACATCAAATTGAACATATAAATGAAAACTATTTCCCAGCAACCGCATCCCCCGCTTTTTGGATAAATTGAATATTAAGATACGATAAGAAAATAAGTACTTTATTGATGGGAAATGTTTGCGTTGCAGCAGCATAAAAAGACAAGGCATTGTACATTAGAGAAATTAAAAGACTAGAAATAAACAATCCAAAATAGAAAAATCTCAAATAGAAATAAAATAGCATTAAAAAAAAGTAGAAAATATACATGTTAAAATACAAATGTACAGTAACAAAATATAAAGCAGGATATTATATATACATTAAGTGTGAAAAGTACACAGTAAAAACACTTGATTGTACTTGTAGGAGTAGTCCAAGTAGTACTGAGTCCAATATCAATTTCATGGAGAACCTCTTGCAAAAAATCATTTTATCCCTCATCAAATATAGAAGAATACATGAATTATTGTACTCAGGACCGGAGTTTGACCCAGTATTACTCAAAAAGTACACAGTAAAAACACTTGATTGTACTTGTGGGAGTAGTCCTGAGTCCAACAGTATCAATTTATTGTAGAACTTATAGCAACAAATCATTTTATCCCTCAACAAATGTAGCAAATACATGAATTATTTTACTCAGGAGGGGAGTTTGACAGAGTATTACTCAAAAAGTATACACAGTAAAAGTTCTTCATTGTATTTTTGGTAGTAGTCTAAGAAGTACTGAGTCCAACAGTACCAATTATATTAATAGTAGAGGAACAAACCCCCCCAAAAGGCTTTAGTTATCGATATACCCCTATCCGAGGTAGAACAAAGCACAACCATGTTTTTCATTATACTTTAATATGTCTAGTTTATGAAACGGATTGTTGTATACAAATATTTTACTGCAAAATTATTATTTTTGGTTCATGTTTGGAACTTTCCCATAACCGAAAATAGTGAAAATGTGGGCTCCTCTGAAGGGGCGCGTGTTGGCCTTATCCCATGTATCTCTGGAAATAGAGGGTCAAGTGAATAGTCAGCAAAAACTATTTGTATGAAAAGATAAGAGTCTCTGGTACATATAAATGACATTTTTGGGTGATTGGACTCTTTAGTTTAAAAATGACAGAAAAGCATAAACATACCTTTTGCATTTTAAATGTCCTATTCCATTTCCGCCTATGATTTATGTGTGTTTAAGTGTTAATATTACAAAGAAGGTAAAAGGTATTGCTATAGTCTTTGCTTTATATGCATTACCTCTCTGTGAACATTTAGGCCAAATTTGGTGACATTCTGATAATTATTTCCAGAGAGACATGGGATAAGGCCAACACGGTCCCCTTCAGAGGAGCCCACATCTTCACTATTTTCGGTTATAGGAAAGTTCCAAATATTAAATCAGAAATAATACTTTTGCAGTAAAATATTTGTATACAACAATCCATTTCATAAACTAGACATAGGCCTATTAAAGTAATGAAAAAAACATGGTTGTGCTTTGTTCTACCTCGGGTAGGGGTACCTCAACTTTTAGGGACCTTAGTTCCTCTACTATGGATACAAATATGTTTTTCCCTCATCAAATATAGCAGAAGTGGCTTGAATTTGTTCTCAGGAGGGGAGTTTGACAGAGAATAACTGAAAAAGTACACAGTTAAAGTACTTCATTTTATTGTTGGTAGCAGTCAAACTAGTACTGAGTCCAACAGTGTCAGTTTTATTAAGAACTTATGGTAAAACATATTTGTTATCAAAAAATATAGCACAAAAACATGCATTATTGCTCGGCGATTACCGTAAAGACGCTATTAATCGCGCACTCAAAAATGAAGAACTGCTCATTTGGCAAAGCAAATGCGAGAGACGGCTGAGTTGACCGCAGTATGTTACTGGACAAGCTCATCATGAATAGCGGTGGGTGGAACCTAACTTAATAATTAGCCTACTTTAACTCACATTTTAGCTAAGTATTACTCTAAAATAACCTCAACTTTATTAATTGCTGATAATTCAACCCTTACCAGTACCACTCAGAAGAAAAATAATAACAAAATATCCACAATACAGTTTAAAGTAATTCTCAGATTACTGTTTCTGGTCCAGTGACTGTAGCCAAACAGTGAAAAACTGGAAGTGCTGGGTGGAAAAATCAAAGTGAGATGCCACTTTCACTTATGATGCTTTAAGTTACTGTGCCCACATACTTGTACTTATTATAAGGGAGGTTTCAAATGCAGGACTATTAGTTCAGAGAGCACATAACGCAACATATATTATAACATGTAATGATAATTTCTTCAGTGTTGCGTATAAAGATAATATTGTAAAATGGGTGGAGGTTTAAAGTCAAATGACTTTTCCCTGGCATGAAAGCACGGACACATACCCACGCACACCCGGCCCTCGCCACCGCCCCCACCCAAACCAAACACATCCATCCTCGCGCCGTCACAGTCGGGAGCTAAACAGGGAGGGATCACCGAGAATAGTTCAGCTGGTGTCGACACATATCACCGTCTGCTTCGACTATTTCTAACGGGAAAACCGAGAACGTACCGGTGGTGCTGGATACCAGGAGGACGACATGGGGGAGTTCACGGCGTTTTTGCTGTTACTGGTGGCGACCTTGACGCTTTCATTCGAGGTTAGTAGCCTTCGGTGGAGAAATCACAGACGGTGGGAGTGGGTGAGTGGATCCGTGGCTCCGCGGCTCCGCGGCTCATCTGCGGGCCTGTAGCCACACCGACCACCGTCTAACCAGAATACATACGTGTTTAACGGTTATATTTTAAATGTTACGGTCAGCATGAAGGCCGTGTAATCTTAACAGTTAACGGAGCTGCTAATAAAGATAACAATATTACGGGAATTTGACGAGGCCCACTCTTGATGTTATCCAAGGATTTGTTATTTTGTCCAGTTTTGAACATCTTGTTGTGTGCGTTCATCAATATTTCAGGTTTATAGTGTTACACAAGAGATTTACTGCGAGGAATTGGCTAACCAGAAAATGTCAGCAATGCTACCAAGGCCTACCATTAGATGTCAGTGATTGACAGTTTGGCCCTGCAATGTTGGACATGTTTTGGTTAATCCAGTGGAGGGAGTTTCTTTTACGCAGTTATGTATAAGGTAACAATATTGCTTGCTGTAGAAGGAAGTTATTTGTCAGTAACCTAGCTAATGCAGCTAAAAGGGTTTAAAGCTAACGTTAGCTCTTTTCAGAAATGTACACGGATTGGCATGGCAACCGCTAGTGGCTAAAAAACGTCGTACGTATGCAGTCAGTTTGGGATTTGTGTTTTAAACCCGTAAATACACCAGATAAGACCGACACATACAACACGTTGAGGGTTCATTTGTTATATCTCCTGATACAGACGTTATTTTTTTATTTATTGTAATGTATGTGTTATTATTGCTGCTGCTGCTGCTGCTGCTGCGTGGTCATGGCCAACTCGGTCCAGTTCAGCAGTGTTGCAGCTGCAGGGTGTGATATTGCTGAGGAGAATGGAAAAAGATGCAGCCTTTTTAGTTTGACACTAAGCAAGATGGCGCCTGCAGCTTGCTGCTGTTGCTGATGCTTTGCAGGACCAGAGAGAAATACACAGCTTTTGAAGGATCTACTGGAGATAGAATGAATAGGGCCTATATTGCATAATTCAAATCAATATGCATACAGCTACTCTCAGTACCATGCTACACTTAAGGGTGCATGTAACTTAGCAGAGTGTTTCTATTAACTGCAGGCTTGATATAACCCAAACAAAATCCTACGTGCTACATTATAAAATGCCCCTACAGCAGAATAAAGCAGGACACTGCTATTGTCGAGAACCTTCCATTATAACCATGTTGCCATTCTAGTATGACTATGCTGAGGTGCTATACATATGCCATATTGAGAGCACCCTGTGAATTAATTTACATATATTAGTTGTATTTTAGATTGCTATTTTAAGATTGCAATGTTTCATAGGATCATATGATCTGTCTGGTCAGATTG